AAAACTAAAGCGTGCTGGTTCCTTATAACGTTAATTATCACTTGTTGGGGTTGAGGAGATGGTTCAATGGGTAGAGGAGTTGCCGAGCAAGCAGAAGGACCTGTATTCAGATCCCAGGCCCTAGTAAAAAGTCAGCCATGGCTACAGGTGCCTGCAGTTCCAGAACTGGGGAGCAGGCAGGATCAGGCTGATCTCTAGTGCTCACTGGACAACCAGCAACCCTCTTTGGCCAACCAAACAACTTCCTCTAGTCTTTGAGCCCTGTCTCAGTAGGAGACCCTGCCTCAAAATAAGATGTGATACAAGACAAATCTGGCTTGGTCCTTAATGGGGCTGTTACTCAGATTAGCTCACAGTAGCTGTGGTTACCTGCACTAGACCTGACAAGATGAAGCCATGCAGAATGCCAGCATGGATGAGGGAGACTCCCCTGAGGTTCCACTTCTACTGGAGGAACTATTGGTCACTGATGGCTGCTGAAGGGAACAGTCGTCTCCTCAGGGGACATGGCCATACTCCTTTCTTTAAATGTTTCCTTGGGGTAAAGTATCTTGTTCTCACGCACACATTATCTTCCTTTCTAAGACTTTTTCTTATTATTTGTAATTGTGTGTGTGCGTGTGTAAGGGAGACAGATGCATTGGCTCCCACTGGAGCTGGAGTTACAGGTGGTTGTGGGTCACTGAACTCTGTCTGGTCCGTTGATACAGCACTATACATCCTCACCCACTTACTGACTGAGCCAACTCTCCAGCCCAGGCTTTTCTATTTAAAGGAAACCACTCACACTTCATTGAAATCTCTTTTGGTTTTGTTTTGTACCAGCCCCTCCTCTTCCATCTGGCGTCTGATTTCCATGACTGCAGGAATGATTGCAGATGATACCCACGTATCTTTTTATAGCCGAACTTGCGGATCACAGACGTCATTCTAGTTGTGATTTGGCAAGGGATCTGGCTATGTCAGATACAAGACTCTCCAAGTAGACGTAAAAATATTCCTCCTCAGATAAGTCACTGCCCCCGGAAACCCGGAGCCTGCCTTGCAGGAGCCTAGCAAGAGAAGCACATGGAACCGCACTTACTTCCTCTGCTTCTCTGGAAGGCTCTGCACTCCTCTCTGCACTCAGCTGTCTTTTTGCTCGGCCTCCCCTGGGAGCAAACATTTCTGTTCCTTAGTAACTTGGTGGAGGAAGTGATCTGAGGATCCGGTCTACACATTTCTTAGATTACACAGACTTCCAGCTAATTCTGTGTGCAGCTCCTCTCCTTACTGCTCCCTTCAGGGATCTCTGCCAGCTGGGTTCCCTGAGACCTGGACCTAAGTTTATGCGCTGCTGCAAGCATCTAGAGATAGTAATCTCAGCCTGATGCACCTTGTCGACCTGCCTAGCTGGTCTCCTAAACACAGATTTCCTTTTAAAAACTCATCCCAGAGCTTCCCAAGTCAGACTCTCTGAGAGGGCGGCTGGTAATGTGCACGTCCTAGGAGGTCTTCAGGTGACCACACCCGGAAGTCATTACTCATTACTCCAGCACTGTAGGTCAAGCACACACTCAAGTTTTGTCTTTGAAGGCACAAAGGACTAGGCATAAGGGAATGAAGGAAAGGGCAGGCGAATCCTCAGAATACAATGGCTTACTAAAGGGACAGACCTTGATTAAACTGTGGCCATTTTAAGAGGACTTGTCTTGATGAGGAATGTTGGTGGCAGTATTTCTCCTTGGAGAAGGGAAAGCTAAGGAACTAAGGGAAACACCATGAGTCTGTTGAGCCAGGCAGCCTCCGTCTGGGAGGGGCGCATATGAACGGTTCTTAGTGGGGTTGACGTTGACTTTGAAGACTACAGGAATTCGGTTCTGTCATCTACTTCGCCTTTCTTCTCTCTGCTCCCCTTATTTTCCATTTCCCGTTCTGTTAATGCAAAGGAAGTCATATATATGCATTTTGAACTTTGGAAAGCCAATATAACAAACATCTTGAACTTCACCCAGACATGATCTACAGGGAAAGTATTTGTCTAAGTGAACGGTCTCCAGAATCTATGAAGTTTATGCACTGTGAGGACAGACTGGGTAGCACACAGAGGAAAAAAATATCATTTTTTTCTTCTGTCCTCCTTATCACTACATCTGCTTTAGGAGTGGTGTGTGCAAGTGGCTAGGTCTAAAAAGTGAACAAGGGAACAGTTATAGATGAAAGGAACTGGCTGAGAGACAGAGAAGAGAAGGAGCAAAGGTTACAGAAGTGGCACTTGCTGAACTACGCTGGCACACAGCCAAGATCCCTCAAGTCCTTAAAAAAATTTTAAACAGGAAAGCGAGAGGGAGATAGGGTGAGGAATGATATTAACTAAAAGTAAAGAATTAAAAAGTAAAATTTAATTAGAAATTAAAACCAATTACCTAGTTTTAATGTTCACATTATATAGATATTTTTCACCAGGAAAGCCACTTCATTAAAATATAAAATTTAGTATTTAATCTGTACAAATAATATACCGAGGACTTGTTTGTTACAGCTAGGCAGTGCTGTGGCATTTCACAAACTGTGGCAGTTCCTGGTACAGATCTAAATTTCAGTGGAAGAAAATGGATCTATTAAATCCTATGTTAGTTTCGCCAACTGCAGGATGACTAGAATTTTATGACGGCCGTGAAAGGAAATTATTTTCCTTCATATCCTATAGTCACAAGATTGTACAAGGAAATTTGCTCAGAATTTTTGGAAGTGGAAAAAAAGTATTTGTTAAATATGTTGCAATGCAAAGTGATTATATTATAGGGAAAACCAGTAAAACCAGGAGTGCTATTTCCCCTCCCTCCCTCCCTTCTCTCTCTTTCTTTTTGCCAAATTTAACTGTGGTTTATATACCTGATGACTAATTTTTTTTTAAATTGCAAAGTTGCACTTCTTAACATGATGCCTGACACAGGGCAGACAACTTAGACTTCTTGAGTGTATCGCTGGGATCAGAATAGATAATTATAGAACCGAAAAGGTTTTTATTGCTTTTGGGAAGTGCATTCCATTCTCATATATAGGTGTATGCACTAGTAACTCACCAGCCACATCATCTACATTTAGATCTTTTTATAAAGATGGGAAGCCTAAGTAAGGTTCTTGGAAAAGGTGCGCTTGGTAAAGCAGTGTCAAAAGTTATATGATTTTTCCAAACTATTTAATACATACATAATTTTTTATTTATTTCACCCACACTGACATATGCATACAGCAAGCCATGCTTATAGAAAATTAGCTTCTATTTTAGGAGGCTATTTTTGTATTTAACTACAGAACTACATAAATACATAGAAAACATCATTTTTAATTTGGAGTTCATTGATAAAATAAGAGAAGGAAAGCACCTTTATTGTCAAATAGGCATCAAATCAGAATGTGATACATATCCAAGGCATTACCCAAGAGATTAAGACATGAATTTCTCCCTTTTCTGTAGACGAGTAGATACAACCCATTATTAGATTTTCATAATGAGCAATGACTAGTAATCAGGTAAGAGAACCTGGTACTATTTGTCACATCTATAGTGGATTGTTGGGGTGCCATCTGTACTTTAAGAGGAATGGTAATCCTTATGCCCGAGGTAGTTTTGCAATTTAGAGTTCTAGTGTTTCACAGAAACTGGGAGTTAGGAGGCTATTTCTGTTGGTGTCTCTGAACTTTGAGAGATACTGGTTCCCAGGTTTGTTGTTCCCAGGTAGGGGGTTCCCTTACTCTTAGTGGGGTTCAACCAGGGTTTTAAGTGCTCGAACACTGATTCACACCCCTGTATCTTCCAAGTTCTTGAGGAAGATATCCCTGGATCATGGATCTGATAAGAGTACTTAATAATTGTTTTCTGAGAAAAAGGGGAGAGAATCTCATCCATTTTGAACAGGAAGGCGTAAACATCTGTGTGTCCTTACAGTATGTTTGGTTTCTTGGGCTCTGAAACGGACTTAAGTGAATAACCATTTAGAATGAAAAGTATTAATCTTTCTTCTTTGGCTCTCACCTAACTCAAAGGTTTTAAGGGTGGGAGTGGAAATGAAGTTGTTAGACTTGCTGCTCGCAACCAGTGTGGCTGAGCTCACGTACAGGATACACTGCCTTAAAAAGCGTGCTACAGCAATATGGGAGTGACGCTCAGTGACGAGTAACACCTATCACAGAGCTCCAGATCACCTAGTAAGATCTGTTCTGTCCACATTACTCATTTTGCACCAAATTGCCGAAGAGAGCTTCGGAAAACGGCCCTCATTGGAAGAGCCGATCAGTCTGAGTTCTCGCTTTCCAGACTTTCCTAGAGGTAAGTACTTTGGAGGGGACCGCTCCCAAGACCCGCCTAACACCTTGCAACAGCATCCATGTGCCTCTCAGATCGTCAGCGTCGCAGGCACCGGGAGCACAGGAGTGAGAAGAGACTAGTGCTGAGCGCGCGGCAGAAATGCAAAGCCGCTTTAAAGGAATCCACGTTACAGCACACGCAAGCAAAGCGCGGGAAGGTAGAGGGACAGTCCGGTGCCGAGCCCGCTCCGGGTGGGGAGGAGACGCCGCACCCGCCCGTACCCCGCGGGCGCTCCACGTCTAGGCACGCCTCCTTTCCGGCCGGAGCGCGGGGCTAACCCCGGCGGCCCCAGCCTATCACCCGGCCAGGCCATTTCCCGGCTTTCGGCCCTGCGAGCCTCCCCGAGTTTCCTGTCAGGCCACCTCTGCCTCCGCGCCCATCCCGATAGCTGGGCTCGGAGAACCGGGTTCCTCAAAGAGGGAGAGCCGCGAGGACCAGCTCCGCCGAGAAGCGGCCCACAGGGCGGTGGCCACGGCCCACGCCTCCGCGCCCGCAACCCCAGCCCGCTTCCCACCCGCTAAGCCCCGCCCCTCGCGGGCCCGGGCCAATGGGCCGCGCCCGCCTCCTGGGAGGTAGTAGGGGAGGGGGTTGGGACCGGCGGCAGTGCCCGCCCCTCGCCCTTGCTCATTGGCTAAGGACTCAGGGTGCCCGGAGACCGGAGTGTAGCGGGATTGGCTGTGGAGGTTCGCGACGGCGGCGTCTATTGGCTGGGGCAGCCCCCGTGACGCCGGGTGGCGACTGGCTCCCGGGTCTGAGGGGCTCCTGCTTGTCAGGTTCTAGGTAGGTGCGTTTCACACCGCCGTCGGTAGGCACTGTTGCCCCGGGCAACGCCCCGGGAGGTGGGAAAGAGGCCGGAAGGCGAGCTCAGCACCGGGGGCAACCGTCCCCGCCCGTAGCGGGGCGCCGGGCTTTGGCCCAGCGGGCGAGGGCTGCTCGGAGGCTCTTCCTCCGCCCTCAGCCGGCTCCGACCCCGCCCGGGGCTGCGGGGCCACTCGCCCCATCCTCCCCGCGACGGAACATTCCGGGTTGGGCTTTGGTCCGGCTGCTCACCCGGCCCGCCAGGCCCGCCCCTCCCACCCGCCCGCACCCGGAGGCTGAGGGGGCGGTGCCGGCCGTGGCGGGCGCCTGGCCCCGCCCCGTCGCGGGTCGCGGGTCTGCGGGGTGTGGGGCGGGGTTGGGGGCTGCGGCTCTGCGAGTCCGCACCCGCTCCCTACTGGCGCTCCTCGCCGTTCTCTCACGGTGCCCAGAACTCTTGTGGGCTCCTCCCCTGGTCGCCCTGTTCTGGAGTACCCAGCCCCTCGTGTCCCCGCAGCCCCTTCACATCGGGATCCACTAACCCTGTCTCGCCTCTTGTCCAGCTTCATGTCCCATTGCCCCTCTTGTTGAGGGCTGCCCTTCAGGAGTCTGAACCAGATCTAGACTCCAGGTGTGAAGCCGCAGTCAGGGGTGATTTTTTTTTTTTTTGCCCCAGGGGCTGTTTAGGGGTCTGAGGTGTCTGGAGGCACCCTTGTGTCCTCCTAGGAACAGCTCTCTGAAACATGAGGTTAGTTTTGGTAAGAGCGAGGACGCTTTTCAGAAGAGTTAAGAGTTCAGCTCTAAGTTTCCATGAGGTGGTCGATTTGGTACTCTACATTTGTGATATCGTTGGGGATGCCATTGCAACCTAAATTTGCGAAGGGTAGGTCAGCCTTTCATTTTCATGCACCTTGTGATGTCAGTACAATGAAACTGACCATTTCGCCTTCTGAAGAAACTTACATATTCACAGTAGTCTCACCATCCCTCAAGCATATGTTACTCCAGCTTGTAAAGGAGTTTTCAGGCGTTTTAAGAAAAATTCACCTGAAGTTGCTGCATATTAAAGTAGGATTTTTAAAAAAAATGAAGATAAGGCCGACACTATTTTAGTGGTTGATGTCTAAAAATTTTGCGCTCCATATGTGAAATGGGAACAGGATTAAAGGGGAAAATAGTATTGCAAAATGCATTGTCGGGTGCAGGGACTGTTTGTGTACACAGCTCCTCAGGATTTATGATGGTAGTGGAAGAGCCACAGGATATTAAAGGTTGAGTGTATTTTACAGCCAAGAAAAGATTTTCTGATAGCCCTCGAGTTAAGGGTTTTCAAAGGTCCCAGAGATGTTTTAAGAGAGTACATAGGCATTCTTGGAAACACTTTCGGTTTTCTTCCATAACAGACCTTTGGCGAAGATCTGTTTCTTTTCTGCATTGACAGTATTAATATACACTAGCTGAGATTATGTAGTGTCCTGTAAATGCAGCGTCTGCTCTGCTTCAAAGGTAGATGTCATTGGCGCAGGAGAAGTAGTCCAGGCATTTCTGGACGAGATACTCGAATTTCATTCTTGGTTGCCATGTCGCACTAACTTGCCTGTAAACTCTTCAGATTCACGGTATTTTCCGCTCCTGTCAAAAGTTAGAAAAAGTGAGGTGTGCTTGTTTAATGTGGCCGCAGTACCTTTTAATAGCTGTTCCATAATGAATATTAACAGCAGAGGAACTGAAACGATCAGATTGGAAAAGTTAACATAACTGTATAGAAGATCGAAATATTGTAAGGTCCTTGTTTATAAGTGGAAATAGTAAAACGAAATAGTAGCAGGAAAAAGGCAGTCGTAGTTTAGTTCTACGAAGCACTGCTCAGTGTGTTTGTGAGGTGTGGAAAGACAGATCTTTGTATCTATGCCGAGATGAGCAATGTCATTGTGGTAGTCACAGGAAAGATAGCCTGCAAACTTGTCATAGACACCAGCGTTCTGTTCTAAGGTTGGCTTTATGTTAGTAGATGGCAGTTTTGCACCATGATGTACATCTTTTGGAGTGAGAACCAAGGAATGATCGCTTATTCAGTGTTTTGATCATGTAACTGAATAAATTGGACCAATCTTATGCATGTTGTTTATTTTGTGATGGAAAAGAATTTGCAAATGCAGCATAAGAAAATAACTACGTGGATACCGAGTAACCTTGTTCACTAGGTTTACTAGTGTTTCAGCAGGACTTCAACTCTCTTCAGGGTTGTGTCATAGGGTTAATAATGGACGATCTTAACACAGAACTTCAGAACAGAAGTGGAAATGGCATTCATTTATATACATATAGTAATTGTATCTTTTGAGTCTTAGGGAAATTTTTCTTAAATATTTGTGACCTTTTAAATTTCAGAAAGACTTTATACCTATCTTTGTACACACTTAATTTCTAAAATATTTAAGAGGTAGTTATCAAAATTTACAAATGGATAAGATTTTGATTGTTTTGGGGCATATTTATTGTGGTGTATCCATCAGAACAAGGACACAGCTCTGAACTTGAGTGAATTCAGCTAACTTGGCAATGGTGACTCGCATGCTAGGTTTGCACCAGAGTGCCGCTTTCCCTGCCTCTCCTCCTCCTTACTCTTCTTAGTCCCATTTTCATCTAGTTACCAGGATGAGTTCTGCAAAGTCAGTTGAGAAGATACAGAGAAAAAAAGGAATTCTATCATAGTTACTGTTCTGAAAATAACCGAAATTTGCCGTGTGCCACACGATACTGTCAGTTATGACAGTCTGGTGTATACCGTCCAGTGTATCTACATCTGCATCTGTGTTAGAGAGTTCCTGAGTTTGAGGCTTGGCTACCCTAACTTAGCCACTTCCGGATCTGGGGAAAAACAGAATAGAGGATATATTAGAGCTAAAACAGAGAAATCAGAATAAAGTAGCTGCTTTTTTCTTACTCTGTCGGAACAAGCACGGTAATAATGCTTGTGGTTACTGATATATGACTACCACATTATGGGGTCGTCAAAAGCTTTGGAAATTCAAAATTATATAAGTAAACTGAAGTTTAGTTAGTACCTTTCTAAGAAAATAAATTTTAAGAAAAATATCCCCATTCTAGGGGCCTTACATATTCAGCTTTAAAGAATGTAACATCATGCATAACTTGTAATTATTTCTCAAATCTTCATCTGTAGTTATAAAACTATGACTAATATTCAGTCTATATGATTACTATCCATTATAAGCTTGATATTATCTCTTTCCTCAGTAAGTATTAATTAAAAGTCTGGAAATTTTAATGACAGAGTTCCCTGCCAGGTTGGGAAAGTGCAGTGAAAAGAAGAACGGTTTATTTTGAAGCCATATAACTTGGGCTTCAGCTCCAGTTTCTCTTTTGTGGGATCTTGGACAAATTACTTAATACCATCAAATCATAGTTTCCTCTTCTATTAAATGAGTAAGATAGAATTACCTCATACAGTAGTTATGCAGAGAAAAGGAGACAATGTAAGTAAAAATGCCTGAAGTTAGGAAGTGCTCAGCTTTTGTGTTCAGCTCTTTACATCACTTTTCATCTCTTCTGGTGTTAGCAGGATGGTTCTGTCTTAGTTCGAACTCTTTCACTGAAGACATGCCATGACCAAGGAACTCTTATAAAAGAAAGCATTTAACTGGGGTCTTGCTTACAGCTTCAGAAGGTGATGGGGGGGAGGGGGGAGGGAGAAAGAAAAAGTGAGGGCGAGAGAGAGGGAGAGAGGGAGAAAGAAAAGAGAGAGGGAGAGAGAGAGAGAGAAAGAGATGTGAGGAGGGAGGAGAATACAGAGAATGTGGGCAAGCACCTTCTGGTACCAGCAAAGCTGGTCCTCAGGGAAGGGGCACTCAGATCAGTTTCTCAGATCAGGGCCTCTGGATCCTGATTCTGAAGTGCATAGGGGTAGCCTCTTCCACCTCTCTTGGGTGTAACCAAGAGCTCTGACAGTCCTAGCTAACAATTAAAAGAGGGCTTCTTATTTTTGGTATTGGGGATTTTGGCTTTTGTTAGGTGGTCTTTGGCTCTTTTTTCATCTGTAATCCTAGATGAAAAAAGTTCATTAAAACTACACACACACACACACACACACACACTGAATTATGTGCATTATAGTTTTTATTATTATTATTTATTTATTTTTTTTTGGTTTTTCGAGACAGGGTTTCTCTGCGGCTTTGGAGCCTGTCCTGGAACTAGCTCTGTAGACCAGGCTGGTCTTGAACTCACAGAGATCCGCCTGCCTCTGCCTCCCGAGTGCTGGGATTAAAGGCGTGCGCCACCATCGCCCGGCTGCATTATAGTTTTTTTAGTAGTTAATAATTTAATTCTTTGTGACTTTTTCAGCCATCCATATTATTTTACCTCCCTCCTTCTTCTTGTATTTACCTTCCTCTCTCTTCCCTAAGGACTGTTCCCCCTCCCCCTCATCAGATCAATAGTTTCAATTCTTAAAATATTTTCTTTAGCTTTAGGATGCCATTTGTTGTTGGTTGAGTGTGCTGTAAATTCCTTTCATTTGAAAGTATTGAATTAAAATCCATAGAGAGAAGGTAAATTTTATTTATTTATTTATTTATTTATTTATTTATTTAGGCTTTTTGAGACAGGGTTTCTCTGTAGTTTTGGTGCCTGTCATGGAATGAGCTCTTGTAGACCAGGCTGGCCTTGAACTCACTCACAGAGATCCGCCTGCCTCTGCCTCCCAAGTGCTGGGATTAAAGGCGTGCGCCACCACTGCCCAGCTAAATTTGATTTTCTTAAATTTCTTATTAGCACTCCCACTTTGGATCTCATTCACTTAGTCTGTTTAAAGTTTAAACTGTTTAATTATGGGATTCTAGTTTTTAAAAGAAAACAGTTTAAATGCACAGACAGCTTGTAGATGTTGGGTGCACTGAGTGAGCCCTCCACTAGGCCTTAGCTGAACTATGCGGCAGTGACTGTCCCATCCTGCTGCACAC